TCAAAGTAAACATACACCAACAGTTGCCAATTTTACGTCTGACTTGAATACCTCATTATGTATGCTAAGGTTTTTTACCATTTCATTATCTTCCAATAATAAAGATGTATTACGCTAAAGTAGACACACAATATGGTAAAACAATTTTATAAGAATTCTTTTAAAATTAATATTGATCTTTTGTGATTCATTTTTAAAATATAAAAAACTGTTATTTTGATCACATAGAACACTATATTTGATTCAAGATTTTGGAGTACATAAGAATTCTTTTGAATTAATACTGATCTTATGTGATTCATTTTTGAAATCTAAAAAACTGTTATTTCTATCTCTCACCTAGAACACTATATTTGATTCAAGAGTTTGGAGCACATGTGTGTGAGTTAAGGGGGGACATCACAGTAAAATTTTGAATTTTCAGAAAAAAATTTTTTTCGCTTAAAAGGTGCTTTAGGCTCTTAAAAATAATATATCAAAAGATAGAATACGGCAAGTGTCGAACTGCCCGAATTTCTCATTCTGCGGCAACGCCTCTCAGGTATGCTTCGAGCGCTTTTTGTGATCCCGGAGCGCGTTAGAATTTATGAGTACGGGCGCAGGTCGAAAGGAGAAAGAAGATGAAGAGATGGAATTGGAAGGCCAATTGTATGGTGCAGGCATCGCAGATTAAGGGTCCTTTTGCCTTAGTTTGGTCAAAAAAATCTTTTTTTTTTACGGATTTTGATAACTATAGGTGTGTAGAATGTCATGCTAAAAGGACAAATAGGTAGCGAGCGTCGAGCGTCAATGGTACGTCGCGCGCGTTACATTAACGACCTTTAGGTCGAATAAAAGATGCTGAGCGGCGATCAACGTACGAGTCCATGGAACAAAGAATCGCAAGGAGAAATGAAAAAACGCAAGAGCAGATCAATTTTGAAGAATGCGAGGGTCTGTTGTATGGTCCTGGAATAGCTGAGTAGCTGTATAAGTATGTATCAACATTATTATCGAAAAAATTGTACTTAAAACTTTAAACGCGTTTTCTGGAAATCTACGTTTTTAGAGTTGCCGGAAGTCATAACTCGGTCAATTTTTAACGAATCTCAATATTTTTTTTTTTAAATACTTGTAATAAAATTCTCCACAATGTAGACTACAATCAAGTTGATACATTGCATATTCGATTTTTTATTAACAAAAAAGTAACGAAAAAAAACAAAAAATGAAACATTATTTTTGAAGGGCCGCCATTTTGAAAATTTCTATTCTTTAATAATGCCGATAATCTACATTGGAATCACACTCTTAATAAACAAGAATCCGTTTTCATTTTCTGTTTCAGACGTTTTTTACGACCTCAGGAACTTCAGCTGGGTACATATTTTCCACACTGGTCGACGTTGCTCCGTGTTCTGGCTCCGCATGTGGATGAATCTGGCTATAAATTTTTCTACATGTTCTTAAAAGTGCCATAAATATACCTGAAAAATTTTGAATTACTATGTTTCTTACTTTGTCCAAAAAGAAATCGTGAATTTTGCCTATTTTTTTACCCAATTAAGGCAAAAAGACCCTTAAAGGTATATAAGAATATTCTATGATTTTTCAGTACTTAAAACTAAACGCGTTTTTCTCGAAACCACTTTTTTTGAACTTGGAGGAAAGATAACTCGAGCAAATCTTTACCGATCGACTTGAAATTTGGACAGTATATTCGAAACACCTTTCTTTATGGAGCCACGTAGGGGTTTTTTGAAATATTGCTTAGTTTTTGTTTTATCGACAATTTTATGACGTTTTTTTTGCGTTAAATTTGTAACTTTTTTTAAAACGTGCACCATTTTGCGGAAAATCAATATATCGAAAAAATTCTACGTGGATCTATAGCTGATGTTATATAGAAACGAAAAATTTTTGGTTTTATGTTCCAGGTCAAGAATTAAGGAGGGTTTCTTTCCTACCATGGACCCCCTTCTGAAAACAAGCGCCTTCGGAAATATGCTGCAGAGCCGCCATTTTGAGATATTTTTTTTTGAAAAAATTACATTTTGTACTTCATTACTAATAATATAAAACCTACTTTACAGATTTTCGATTAATCCTTTCATTGAGCCAAAAAAAAATCCCGAAAATATGCCTATTTTTTCGTGCTCTACTGTGATGTCCCCCCTTAACCAGTTTTCAATCACGTGTATCTTCATAAACACACATTTACAAATTATTATTATAATTAGTAACTAATATTGTGAGGATTACACATTATTACCATGAAAAATGACTCACATACTATTGAAAGTGCCAGTTCAAAGTAAACATACATAAAATGTATATTCTTTTATTGCATATATACGAAATAATAATGATTTAACATTATTATTATAAACATCTAGTGTGCATGTGTTGTTAGATCATTATTACGTATATATGCAACAAAAGGATATACATTTTATGAATGTTCACTTTGAACTGGCACCTTCAATAATATATCAGTTTGTTTTCTAACGTCATAATTGTCGGTTGCAT